ACCTTCATAATTTTCGGTGACATTTCCTTCGTTTCCGCGGGGCACTTTCAACAACCTCCCAGTGGATTTATGACCTTTAATTTGTATGTCCGACTCGACACTCGATTAATTGGACCTCCCCGAAGCCTGGCTACTGTGCATATCATTTAGGGTTTTCGGTCCCTTGTTGTGGGTTCCTTTTCCCGGGTTCCTATTTGGGGTTCCTAGGAGGGCACTTTCACTGGTGGCTTGATGAACATTGATGGTTCGGCGGTGCACTGTCACACCTGCTGGGTTTTGATCACCCCTTTTCCCCTGGAGAGGCACCGCATTAGCCGTAATTGTATGCAGAGGACGTGGTGTCTGCTTTTCCCGGGGAGTGTTCCATTTAAAGGGCTTCTGGGAAGGTGCGACCTTGCCACCGTTTGTCATTTGCCATTTGCCAATTGCCAATTGTGAGTTCTCACAGTTGCGGTTGTCCGCCGCTTTGTCCGTCAATTTATGCAAGTAATGTTTTGATTTGATTTGTACCTTTCAGGTGCGGATACACACCCACGATTGTCCCGGTTTCGTAGGTCCCAATCCCAGACGCGATCAATTTCTGTTTTGACAGCTCTCCGGCTGTCAGGGGAGTTGAAGTGTGTCTAATTGATGGTGGTTCGGTTGGTGGGCAGGTCACAGATGTTTAGCCATGTTCTAATCGGAAAACCAATATCAAAGGCGTCGCAGGCACTCGAGTGACATCTGCCGGTTGTCCTGGTGACAGTTTTATAACACTTTAAATATTATTTGGGCTTTGGGTTACGTGTTTATTGCCCGGTCTCTATTGCAAGCCCATTCCCATTCCCATTCCCATTCTCAGTCCGAATCCCAATCCGAGTCCTTTTCTCAGGAGCACGGACATGCGTGACCAATCGCGTTTAGGCCGGGAAAAAAGGGTTGCCGGGTTGCCCATTGATACAATTAAAATTGCGCTGCAAATGTGCCATGAAAATGCAATCCCAGGGTGGGGCCCACATCGTTAGATTTTACGATGCGGCTTTCCATTCCACCCCCAACTTCTGCCCCATTCCCATTCTTATTCCCTTTGCCCAGTTCCGATTGCCCTCGGTATTTCCTAATTGAATTGAAGAGGTGGGATCGCAAGACGGGCAAAAACTAACCAACTTTCGGTGAGTCAGTATCCGTATCCGTATCCACAGAGCTCCACACTTTCGGCGGGTTCATAAACAGCTCGTTCCCCCCTTTTTCGGAATGGCTTGTTTTGCATGTTAACAAGATACTTCCGCTCGAATGGCACTTCGAGTACGCTCCCGTTTGTCGGCCGGGCACGAATGAAAACGTAATGTTATTTCCCCATTTTCATATGTCACCGGCAGCTCGAAGGCATTTTCATTGCATAATTAACCCAGCCCACCCATCTTTTGGTCTTTACCTGTTCAGCTGTTCAGCTGTTCAGGTGGGAATGGCTCGGGAAAACTTTGGGGATTGGTATTTGCTTTCTGTGACATAAAGTTATTTAATTATCACGTTTTCAAACGGGCTGTTATTAGCTCGTTAAGATAAATTAAATGCTAAAGCTCTGTCTTGCTTTTAATATTAATCTTGATATTCAGTTTATTACAATTTTTTAAATCTATGTTTATTAATATAATTTTATGTCTCTAGCTTGGAAGTGTTCCCTTTAATTAAGTTTCAGGCTTTCCACTTACCTTTGTTCTTAGCGAATTACCTTCTTAAAACCAAATGCATTATGAAGGCCATAAAGATGCTTCTCCTGTTTCACACCAGCCAACCCATTATAATCCAATTCCCCTGCCGCAAAGACTACAGCTCAATAATCGCAAAGAGCTGATACTTATTTGCTCAATCGAAGACTGCGCTGAAATTATCGCAGATATTTCGTTTGCAGCTCCCACGCGGTATCTTAAAGATACTTTTATTGTGGTTCTTCTTTTGCCTTCTTATTTATTTACCTTTTTTTCAGCTTGATCTTGGCGATTGTCTGCGCGCAGGCGTAATGAGGCGACTCCACTCGCTGAGCAGCAATGTCAAATACGCAGATCTCCTCAAGCGATTGGCGCTACGTGGGAGGTCGCTGGTTTTTTCGCTTTTGATCTGTCTCATGAGACGAGCCACACCCACACATGTGTGTGTGTGTGTGTGTGTGGATCAATAAAGTCGGTTCGGCTTTGGGGAACTCGGGGATAAACCCTTCCAAAGGGGGCTTCTATTTGCATGAGCCAGCCCAAAAACTCATTAAGCGAAGGGAATTAGAAGCGCCGCCAAATGGGTAAATGCTCGTAAATCTCTGGCTAGTTTTGCCGCCAAGCGGACAGATGTAACACCACTCCACTTTTCCCCCACAGAAAGTGTGAGCGCATTTCGCTGTAAGTTGGTGTTTCATTAATAATCCCCAGCTGAAAGGGCTGAGACAGCCGGCAAAGTTGGCCCGGCGGACTCTTCATAAATCTTGTGTCGCATAATTACAGTTAAAATTTATAAGCTTATCTCCTTAGCCGCAAATTTATTGGCGAGTCCAGCGTCCAAGTATAACGCTCAACGTGGAGCGTCCGTCAACTCGCAGAATGTCGTTCACCATGCAGAGCGAGAAAAATCGTTTTAATTAGTCATTAAATTGGTTTTATTATCATAACAAAATTTGTAAACAATCAAAATACATTTCAGTTGGTTACAGAGACTTAATTCTAATAAATTACATAGAATCTAACAAAGTACTAACAATCTTTACATAACATCTTCGTTTTCTTGCAGTGTATTGTTCAGTTCCCGTTCTCGTTTCGGTCACCCGGTTCGGTTTACGTTGGTTCCTTTTGGTTTCGCTCATTAAACGGTCTCCAAGTATCGGCTAAAAAATGTGTATTTAAAACGGCGTGAAAACAATTTGTTGCCAATTTTATGACGCCTCGCCACTCAGTTGCCCCGCATGACCCCTCTCCTCCCCCCTGCCCCCACGAAACTCATCCGTGGATCTGCAAAACAAATTCATTTGAAGTCTGTGGTCTTTGGGTACTAAGTGTCAACCCCATAGATTTATGCGTATTGTCTTTTTTCGGGTTACTTGCGCTGGCATTCCGGGAACACTCGGACTCTGGACCCGGGATTCTGGATGCCGAATGCCGAATGCTGGATGTTGGATGTTGGCTCTGTCTTCTGGCTTTAACTCTCGCCAAGGCTGCGAGCTGCCAGACATTAATCATTTGGCGCACGGGGGGTTTAAAGGGAGCCGGGGTTTCGAGCAGTTCCAGCAGTTTGCGGCAGCATTCGAGGCGTTGTAATGTTTGGCAGAAAAGGGTTAAGGGGGTCAGGGGGATTCAGTGGAGGGGAAAGCGGCTTGAGTCGCAGGACAGCGGGATTAATGTACGCGGACAAGGTATTTGAATGGGCCTTTTTATGGTCACATTTATTGAATTTATAACGTAATATACTCGCACCCAATGACTCATGGCGATCCCCGCGCTTTGCTCCAAAAACGAACAGTTCAAGACCCCCTTATATATATACATTCCCATTCCCAGTCGCCGATCCAAATCCAGTTCCACTCCGGCAGAGGTAATAAAAAATTATGCTTAAACAAAATACTCGCAACTATAAATTCAGCAAAATATTACTAAACTTAAATTGACTTTTTATGAAGTTATATCTTCCCCAGACGCGTGCCATAAAAAATCACTTAGGCCACGCGGAAAAACTCCCACGCACAGTGGAGCCTCGCGAATAAAGTGCCGAACGTAATAACGTTATAACGCGGCCGTTGTTACGTAGTATCGTTCACCTTTGTTCAACTGCCCGATCCACAAACAAATGTCGCCATCCACGTGAAACCCAAAACCAAACCGTAAATCATTCACGGCGAATTAAGACGTTTTTTTTTTATTTCGCGCGCTTTCGAAGGCAACGGCGAATTTGTTTTTGCTTTGCCAGCCAGTGGAGCACAAAGGCAAACCAGAACCACAAATTAAAGATTCTATATTGCTTTATATATAGATTTTTATACTGTGCTATACTTGTTATACATTTTGTTTATGGCTTGCAGAGTACATTTTATTAGAGAAACCATAAAATGGGATTTTGAATAAATTCGCTACATTATAATTTCTTGTTGTTCGATACTTATGCAAAACAGGGTTAATCTAAATTGATTATAATTCGATAGATGTACAAAAAACTTTAAAACCTTTCAAAAAATTTTAGGGTGAGAACCACTCTCCAAATAAATTACCAATTTTGCTTTTATTATTTCTGTTTTTGGTTACCTTTTGTTTTATTTTTTGTTGGCCCCCACTTTGTTTGGCCCCTGGAACGTCTGCAGGTGTTACGTGCCTGCGATCCACTGTACCGCCTGCCGCCCCCCAATCCGCCGGGCCCATCGTACCGCCTGCAATGACAGACACATTTAACACCTACGCGATGTTGACGCTGCACTTCAGTTTGTTTCAGGTAAGCTCTGCCGAACGGGCGCCGTTTTCGCCGCTTTGACGCCGCTTTGGCCGTCAAGGTGTCAATTTGTGCCGTTGGCAGACTCACACACTCGCATACACACACATACACACACCTGAATTTGACGACTGTATGCAAATTTAATGGCTAAATTAGAGGAGGGAGCGAAGACGAGAGGGGCCAAAACAAACCGCAGAAGGAGGGACTTTAATAATATAGTATACCTAATGCTTGCCATCGAGACGAGACGCCGTTTATTAGGCGTGATTATGCTGGGAGATAGCAGCTTTAAACTTCGATTTGCATAATGAATTTAATTCGAATGTAATTCCCGCAATTGCTGCGGCCGGTCGTCCAATCTTTTGATCCGCGCATTGCTAATTGAGTAATTAATGCCCACGCCCACGGAAAATGGAAATTTATATATAATATGTATATCGCTTTATCGCTAAAGACGGAGACCACCCACTTGGCCGATTGGCCGAGGCCCATAAACACATATGGCAATCAAATTAAAATTATGCAAAATTCTTTGATAACGACAGCAACAACACGGCGTGTATAATTTAAATGTTTATTAAATTATTTAGTTGTGAATTTATGAATCTATTATACAAAGCGCTCACGCAACCGCTTCTTCTCGGGCTTTCTTCGGGTGGAATTCTTCGGGAGACTTACTATATTCGGTTTCCGATTCTGCTTTTCAGTTGCGTGTGCGCTGGACTAGAATATTGTACAACTTAATCGTTAAGGATTGCTTAACCTACTCTTACACGCTACTCCATAAATACTAGATCGTAGATATTGCTAGTGACCCCTTCCTCTAGCAGGATTCCTTCGAGGCAGCGGCACTGGCCGCCTCCTGCAGCTCCTGCAGCTCTTCTTCTTCGCGGGTCAGCGGTATCGTGGAGTGGTTGTACAATCCCTGGGCCATCAGCTGCAGCGCCAGTGGATTCTTGGTCCCGCTCGACTTTTTCAGCTTGGCCCTCTTGTTCTGGAACCAGATCTTGATTTGGGCCTCATTCAGACCCAACTCGCCGCTCAGTTGCTGGCGGCGCTTCTCCGTCAGATATCGATTCTCATTGAACTCGTGCTATGAATTAAAAAATATACAAATTTTGATTAGGGTGGGAAGGATAGAGTAATACTAATTAACAGATAAACAAGACAAACTTCAAAGATTAAAAGTCTCTGTTATATTATTATATTTGTGCTTAAAAATTGGTTTATTTATTCAAGACAATTAGTAGCAAAACTAATTTAAAATCAATTTCAATAGAGTAGCTAAATAGTTTTTAAAATGATATATTTACCAATATTATTAGCCACTACTTTATTATTCTTTTATGGTATTCTTCAAATTTGTTCAATTATTTAACACCAGTTCGCAACCAATTTAATATTCCCTTTGTATTTGATCATTAACTTTGTCGTTAGCTTAAGTGCATGATTGGTAAATATAAACGGATATCGACTTACCTTCAGTCTGGCCAGCTGTGTCCCGCTGAAGGCCGTTCGCGGCCTCTTGTCCTCGGGCACCCCGCCCCCGTCCGTGGAGTCCCCCTTCTCGACGCCCCCGCCCCCTCCGCCCGCCGCTGAACTGGACGTCGCCGGCTTCTTGGGTTTTCGCGCCCGTGGACCTGCAAAATCGGAAACACAATGAGATGAGTTGAGTGCGGAGGTCATAAAAATTCCGGGGAGCGCTTAATGGCACCAACATGACTGGACCTGGGCCTGGAACTCTACCTCTACCTCAACCTCAACCTGTCCGACTGCCGACTCATCGGGCGGACATAAATCCTGCGCCTCATATATGCAGCGCAGCCCGGCAATTAATTCACATTTAAATGCGTCCAGACAACCTCGCTGTAAGGTCTTCCCCATTTTCCTTCTCCCCTTGCGATCCTCACCAGCTAAAACAATTAAAGTTTTTGGGTGGAAATTTGCCCGCGTCATTTTCAAAAAGTAATCAACGCAATGACTTTTGACTGTGGCTAATTTTCCTCAAGGATATCCCAAAAAACAACCCCAAAGGGAACGACTTGAGTTGTCTTGGATTTAATTAGCAGAATTCGGGGCGGACAGGCGCAGAGAATTGCGCCACTTGATGTGGGTTGGCCCGCAAGTTGGCCAGAAGCGAGCAAATAAAATTCTAGCCGAAAATGGGGTTTCAAACTTTGGCTCGTTTCGGAAATAGTTGGGAAAACTGTATCCGAAATGCAAATGGAAAACGCAAAACGAGAGATGAAGCGATTATGAGGTTTCACTAATGGGAATATTTTGGTCAAAGAAGACGAGTCAAGTGACCGCAAGATGTTCGAAACGAAAGTCAAATATGTGGCAAGTATTTTGTAATTTAAGAGCTCCATCTATCATAAGGCATTTGCGAGTTACTTGGGGATGAACTTCTTGGGGAAATTATCTTGGCTGAAAATTGATTTGTGTCTTTTGAGACAGACTCTTAATAGTTGCTTGCTTGCTTAGCAAATCATTATTTAAAGACTTCAATTTCTTCTGTTTTTCTATTATAAGAATATCATATAAACGAAATGTTTTTATAACGCTTTCGCGTAAGTTCTACCATTTCCCATTCTTAAGTTCCTTCAAACTACCAAACACCATCTTATCGATCCTGAACTTCCAGTTGACTGAGCCACGGTTCTCGTCCTTTTGTACTTACTTCGACCTGCAAAGAAAGAGAGCAAATGATATAGGTTAGAACATTTAAGGTAAACTGCTTGGGGCAATTTAAAATTTAATTTACTTTTAACGCGAATCAATAAAATATCGGAAATTGATTAAATTCCTCGACGTCAGCGCGGCTCAGCGGAAACTTTCGGCCGGCGAAACGTGCAAAAATTCTCTAAGACCCCACTCGGCCACGTCCACTTTTCGCCCAACGCCCAACGCCCATCGCCAGCCGCCCCAACAACCTTCAAAACAAATGTAGCGGCACTAATGGCAACGCAACCAAGTCATGCCCTAAGTTAAATCGTTGGAAAAATTGAACAAATCAATTTTGTCAACAAAATGCCAAAGCTGCCGACGGGCGCGAAATTAAACCAAAATATCGCAGGACTCGAGCGGGGCGGTGGGTTGACAAGTAGGCGTGGCTGTTGTAAGGTGTTATCACGGTTTTAAATTTCACACGCAGCCGACAATAAAAACAAACAGCCGGAGCAGGGAAATTCAGACCTTGAACCTGTCAGACAGCCGGGAGACGATGACGACGACAGGGAAAATCCAAGTCACGGTGACCTCCGCCTCCGGGAAAAGCACCCCCTTTTCCGCTTTCCCGCTGAAGGAAAACGCATGTTGGCAAGCGTAGATAAGCGAGCTTGAACTCGAGCTGCATGCCAACGCGTCGCAAGGACATTGCCAAGGGGTTGCCAGTTTTCCTTTTTGCCAAAAAAAAAATAGAAGTCTCACAATGCAACAATTGCCAAAAGGGAAATCTTTTCCTTGCCGTTCTTTCCTCTTGTGGAAATTGTGATTTATAGCGTGTTAAATTTTTCATTGCTCTGCTGCGCAAATTTGACACAATAAAAGTTTCAAAGTTGTTTTTCGGGGGAGTTCCTGGAGGTTGTCCCTGGGGGGTTACTTCAAATTGGCTTTAATACAAATTATATGAACTCAATCAAAAGCGAAGGACGCAGTACTTAAAGGCAATTTGAGAAAGAAATGGTTTAAGGGCAATTCAATAAAGAGTGAATTATTTAAGACCATTATTCAAAGGAGGTTCTTTGGCTTACATAAATTTAATAACATGTAAAATGTTCAGTAAATTTAAAATTTTTTGGCAAACATGAAAGCTGTTCCTTGCGGTTTTTAGCTGTTTACCGCTGCTTCTTGCAATCAAACAATTATTCTAAAGAGCCAATGTTTTTCGGCATTCAACCACAAACCAAATCCAGCAAAAAGAAGCCGAGCAGTGGCCTTGTTCTTTGCTAAGCCAGCCAAGAAATAAACAAAAACGGAGACGCACATACACATAAATTGCTGTTCATCAAAAAACAACAACGGGCAAGAACAGACGGCGGAGAAAACAAAAACGGGAAGATGTCTTCATCAGCAGCCTCAATGACCCAACTTGGCGAAGCCAACTGCTAACCGAGTGAGCTTGAGCAAAAAGCCGGCTGCCTCCGCCACTGGGGCATATGTTTAAAATAAACGCATTTGTTTTATTTATGCTTAACATGAGTTGCAAATGCCAAAAGCAGCCAGGCAGCAAGGCAGCAAAAGGAATCTGGTCGGCCAGGTGAGTTACCTTTTAGGCCGGGCAAATGAATGAACCTGCCAGTGAGAGAGCAGCGCAATTAAGTCCGCGGAATGACTGGGAATGATTCCTGCAGGAGGCGAATGGCCAAGGATCTCGTGGCGGAGTATTCCAGTGCGACACTCGTAACTCACGCTCCAAACTGCAACTGAAAGCCCCACCGAAATTGACTTATAAAGACCTCAAACTAACGGGCCACACACAGACCGCGGCGATCGCGTCACAGGGGAGCCAGAAAGCCAGAAAGCGAGCCAGATACAGATACAGATACAGATACATATGGAGATACAAATACAGATTCGGACTCAGATGGAGATCGAGACGGAGCCGGTCGGTCGGCGATCGAGAACCAGTCACATAAGCTTCAATCGACGAGCTTCGATGTAAGCGATCTGTTTCGAGACGATCGCATCTCGCATCGCCGTATCTCGTATCTGTCTCTAATGATCGCACATTCGACTCCAGGCCATTAATAAGCCATAAAAGACAACACATAGCTGGGGAAAATTTACATGTGGAAAGTGAAAGCGTTCGATCGATCGATGATTGATCGGTGGTTATTCGGTGATTCGGGGATTGTAACCATCGTTCTGATCCCACGCACAAAGCGAAACCAACCTGAGCAGACAGGCAAATTAACACTGCGGTTTGTTTGGCGACACTGATGAATATTGACATGACGACGCGTCGCTCATCGGTTTGATTGCACGTTCGATTGAGTGGAGTGATTGACGCGGACAGCGCGACACTCGCAATCACAGCCGCAATCGCCGGATGACAAACGATGCCGCTGATCGTAAATAGCTTGGAAGCTTCGCCAGCGTTTCGTCGTCTATCGATCGCTCAATCGATCGAAAATAGCCATTTCAGCCAGTCCAACCTAACTGGCCAACTGGCCAACTAGCTCTTACCAACCCAACGCCAAAGGCTAGCGACAACATTCCACCGCATAATTTGCTCTCCTGCATGAAAATATTTTTAAGCATATTTCTTAATTGCTCTATCAGTGCGGTCGTTTTGTTATTATGGTTTCGTTGCTGTTGTTGTTGTTGCCACTGCCACAGAGTTGGTGGCTAATTTGCATAGCCCTTGCCGGCTTTGCATATGAAATTGGCCAAGTTGTCCTCGCGGTTCTTTCATCGCAGGGAATAGCTTCATTGAATATGCTCCATGGGCGAGTTGGAGGTGTCAAAACATGTTGCCTCAAACGCAAATTGAAGTCGGCAAATGAAAGCAAGGAATAATTGTGCTTCTTGGGGAAAACTATAATTACTCCATCACAAAGTAAGTTCTTCACTGTACAAAATCGTTTACCTATAAAACGAAATACAGTGAAATATTAATATAATATACCAACTTATTCCCCTGAAGATAATCGCTATTGAAAGCCCTAATAAGGCGAAGATTCCACAGTGATCCCAGTGAATTCCGTGGCAACCTTTTACGCGCTCTCACACCTTTGGCGATTCAATACCCTGTCGGGGATATCGCTTACACCTATAGCATTGATTGGGTCCATGAGCCGGCCGCAACTGGTTTGACAAATTGCAAACCGCATTTTCCGCTGATATTAGCAAACAATTTCATTAAGAAACAGAAATCAATCCGCCAGTGCTGAGCATCAGGTGGCCTGGAACTGCAACTGGGATTGAGATTGAGATTGGGTTCGAGCTTAAGTTTTAGTTGGCCGGAGGCCTCAAGTACAGGCGACACCGATATGGCCGGCCAAAGTATCTGTGTCCGTATCTGCACATGTATCTGAATCTGAAACTGCAACTGCGAGTGTGGATGTATCTCGAGCTTAGCGCGCCTTAATAGACTCGTTGCTCTGGCTTTGTGCAATTGAGGTGTGAACATTTTACGCTTCTATGGATATTTCGACTAAATTAGTGCACTTTTATGGCCTCTCAATTAACGCAATCCTCAGTCTCTCGGTCTCGATCTCGATCGCGATCGCAGCTCTAGTTTCTCCAATTAGATCAGTCAAAGTCTGTGGGCCTGCGAGTTACTTTCACCCTAATGAACACATCAGAGGCATTGATCTTGGGAGACCACCCGAAACGAAAGGTATCGCATCGATATCGACGGAGTGTTTGTTTATTTGCTTTTCTGTCGGTTGCGGTAGTCAGCGGGTTCTGGGGGCCATAAAAATAAAATTAAATCGAAAGAACGCTGCGATCTCTGAGGCGATCGACCGACCGACCAATCAAGCCGCCGCCCAGACACTAATGAATATTTAGATTGCCCACGAAAGCAGCCAAAAAATCGGAGCTCAGCCCCAGCGGCAGCCCCCAAATAATTTGTAGATCAATAAATGTTCGCTTTATGGCTCTATTAGCGGCGATAGCCCCTTTTGGGAGCCTCCGTGGACTTCGTGTGTGGCCAAATGGCAGGGTTGCAAAACAAATACGCGAATAAGTGTGTTCACACCAGGGCGATGCCGACATTAACATCAATCTTCCACGGATCACCGAGATGCAAACCACTCGGACCGGACCACACCAAGGGTCCTCATCGCCGATGATCGTCTTCGAGCCCATGATCACGACCACAATCGCGATGATGATGACGCTGCTGATGACGCTGAGGCTGGGGAAAGGCAGTGAGGCAGAAGATCGGACCGAGACTCACTCCGCCCCAGATGCAGGGCTTCGACAGAAGGTCCAGATCCCTGGACTTGGCTTTAGTGAAGCTTAAGCCACTTGCTGGGTTCCCTCCACAAAGTAAATCAACATCTCAATTTAACTCTCTATCTACTGTATAGTAGCTTTAAAATTCATATTTATTCCCTAAAAAATTAAGTTCTTGCTTACTCTGTTGCATCATTTGAATACAATTAAATTTTTATTAAGAAAGCTTTTTCAAGAGTCTGCTATGCCCTGCACTTTGTGCGGTAGGGTGTATGGCATGTTAAATCTTGAAATGTCTTAATAAAACAATTAATAGTACAGCTGAGCTCATAAGATTTTTTCTTTTCATATTTTTTTTCCAGAGTACGGAGCAGACACAGTATCTTGCAAACAGGAGCGCATTCAAAGTGACAAGTGGAAATAAAATATGAACAATATACAATAGATGTATTCACTAAAATTATACATAATTGGTAATCTTACATTAGATTTTGAATTATTAAACAAAAACAAATTAATATTATTACAGGTCTATGACCACTCCACTCCCTTAATCGATTGGCTCCGCTCCTGAACCATTTTTTATGGCTGAGCTGTGTGGCAGACAAAAAGCCAAAGCCAAAGCCGAAGCCAAAACCAAAAGCCTGGCCGATCGTTCGTATGTCGTGTACGTACTATAAAGTAATTGAAAAGCACAACAGATTGTTTTAAATATCAGCAGGGCGAGCCGCCCAAGTTGACCACCTGTGCGGTGGTGTTCGCCGTGGATTTATGGCCCGG